TGTGTGTGTGTGTGTGTGACTTCTAGCTGGCAATGGGCAGATGGTACAGATGGACTCCAGTAAGTCCGGCTTCGTGGGTTCACAAGTGGAGCTGCGCTGCATCTTCATCAACAGCAACCCGCCGGTCAAGATCTCTCAGGTCACCTGGCAGAAGCTCCTCAACGGCACCAAGCAGAACGTGGCCATAGCCAACCCGGCGCTCGGCGTGTCCGTCCTGCCTCCCTTTAAGGAGCGGGTCAGCTTCAAGCAGGCCGCGGTGCGTCATCGCACGCCCTCGCTGGAGGACACCACCATCGTATTCTCCAACCTGCAGCTGTCTGACGAAGCTGCCTACATCTGCGAGTACACCACGTTTCCTGCGGGCAACCGGGAGAACATGGTCAACCTCACCGTGTTTGGTAAGAACATGTAGATATATAGGGAAATGTTAAAATACTATTCAAAATCTTACACATTTAACTTTAGTTCTTTTTATTTGTCATGTAGTTTGTAGTTTATTTATTGAGGTCTCATTTATCTCTGTGGAGGCAGTGGTTAAACCCTCAGCATAGATTTCTTATGTGTTTTTGGCCCAAACAGAATTGTTGTCTTCCTTAAATCGTTATCATCTTCAAAGATTGATCCTTTACAAGTCCCATCAGCATTTGAGGCAACTTTTATTAGACATTTGCCTATGAAAAAAAAATGCATCGCTGGAATGTCAAATTTTCTTTTTCAAACATCTCCAACAAATTAGGAGATGCATTTTTTTTCTTTTCCTTTACTGGACAGAGACTGTAAAATCAGCATCTACATTTAGGGCCACAGTCTGATGTATTTGCACTCAGTATTATGTGCCTCAGTTTCTGCCTGTAACATGTACATAATCTACTGATCAGATTGTTGCAGTGAGTGAATCGTGTGTAATTGTGTTTTGAGCCGAGATAAAGTTAAAAAATATCAGGTTCTACATCTTAGAGCTTGGAGCTATTTTCCTCTGACATGTTGGCACATGCCTGATGAACAGTCAGAGGGATGTAAACCTGTCACCTGAATTTGACTGTAGGCCGAAAAAAAGAACATTTTTCTGAATCTGATAAGACGAGGTCAAACTGACATCTTCCTTTTTTATTGAAGGACTAAAAGGAAACACCTGAGCAGTCAGTGTAGCCACAGGCTCTGTTGTAATGGAGGGTGAAACCAGGGGGCCTTTTCTCTGATTTAGCTCTACATTACAAATGTGCTGTTTACACTTAAAAGTGCCGTGGCTCCACGCTACACTCGACGGCTGATGTTCTTGTTCCATCACGGACCTCACATGCTCAGCGTCCAAATGAAAATCATTTTGACGGATTGCTGATATGATGATTGGGGTGACATGCCGTTTAACTCCAATCCCAGTTGAACCCACATGGCACCGATAAAATAGGAAACCGCGGCAGAGAGCGGTCAATAAAAATGGCAGGTGAGACAGAAATCAATAAGGCCACTTCAGAGTGTGTAATTTGGCTTGAATAATCTTGTCTCGTGTAAAGAAAGCAGGGCCCTGAGATGTCGTTTGTCTTGGAAAGAGGCAGTTTTGAAAAGGTTGTGCACTGATTCTGATTAGAGATGTAATTAGACATTAAGTGTTGGTGTGTTTTCCATTAAATCCCAGTAAAGAAAAGCCACTTGGCTTAAGTGCTCAGTGTTGCCAGAGCTCCTCGTCTGCTCCGAGTCCCCAGTATCTGTCACTGAGCCTCTCAGGCCCTTTTTAGGCTTCTGCGGCTCAGTGAGCGTCATGAACCTGTGTGCAGATAACCGAGCGGCAGCGTTCAAAGAGGCCTCTTCATCGTCTATTTCGTTCAGTTGTGCATTCACTCGTGCCTGCCTTTTGATGTACTGAGAGCAGATTGTTAATTGGCAACTCACAAAGGATTCAAATTGGATGACTGTGCTTTTGGGTAGCCAAGTGGGTTCTACACGTGTGAGAGCTTTGACAACTGCGTCGGCTTTGAGGAGGAGAAGAAACTAAACTTCGCCTCATTTGAGTCACACTTTTCATCTTTGTTGCTTATTTTTGTTTACTTCGAACAGAAGTTTCGATCAAATCCAAGACTGATCTTAGAGGAAGTGGAAAAGATAAGACATGAGTTTTAATTACTTTTCAATAATTGCATTTCTTTAACATTTCTTCTCAACAGCTCGGCCCATGACGCGTATGACCTTGACAACGCCCACGATTGTTGCCAGGGCTCAGAAACGCAAAATGACCGTCGCCACCTGCGTGTCAGCCAATGGCAAGCCACCGAGCGTGATCAAATGGGACACCAGGTTGAAGGGTGAGGCCACTTTCCAGGAGACCCGCAACCAAAACGGGACGGTGACGGTACGGAGCAACTATGTGGTGGTGCCGAGCCGCGAGACCCACAAGCAGAAGCTGACGTGTATCGTGACGTATCGAAATGAGAGGATCACAGACAGCGTGGTGCTCAACGTGCAGTGTAAGAATCTGATTTAGTACACAGTCATTTTTTTTTCATTCTCGTACTGATTTGTTGTTCAGTCTTTTTTTTAACCTGTTTTGATCTTGATTTTGTGATCTCATGCACCCACACGTTGCAAAAGGACACAAGTCCCCATCGTTTACTGAAAACAAGATCAAGATCTTCTTCTTAAGCTGCTCAGAAACTTCCAGTTATCTAAAGGGACGAGAAACCTAAACAAATAATCGCCAGACTTTGTATTAATGATACATGAAAATATCACTTCATCAAAAAGTAGAAAATTATGGATTTATTTATTTAGAGGTTTTAATTGATTTAGAATCCTGAAATATGTTCCTTAAAAATGTGCAGACATTGTGCAGATCAGTGGTTTGGCATAAATAATATCAATAACTATCACAATATAATTTTCATCCATAGCAATGTAACAAAAGTCCAATATATATCAATATAAACCTCATAGGTTGTAGGAACATAGTGAGGAAATGTATTAATAATGATAATTATTGATGATATGAATCGTTTTCTGCTATAACGTCCGTTTGTTTTCTTCTTTCTTGGTAGAGTTTCTTCTCTTTCACATCTGTCCCACACGTGTGGGTTACATTATATCGTAGTTGTCAGTATTAGTGTAAAATAGAAGCAAAGCTTATATGGTTTAAAGTGTGTACATACATTAAGAATAATGAAACGATTGTTGTTTTTTAAAGCGTTACTGTTCTATAAATGGAATGGCTTTCAGCAAAGCGCCTCCAAGGCTGAACAATCCTACACATTATTTTCTCGTTCTTATTGTAGAAATATAAAGAAAGAAGTGTTTTGATTATTTGGCATAAAGAAAGTGACATAATACGACCTTTTGATCCACATCCGCACCTAAATTTAATGAGTTCCTCCAAGGATCTATCTTGCCACCAGGTTTGGTGTAAATCGTGATTCTGTTAACAACAAAACAAACAGTTGAAAAGATCCCCTCCTTGGAAGATGTAACGATCTGGTGCCCAAACTGTTGCTTTGCTTCTCCCGATTCAGATGATATCATGAACTCACATTAGCTATCCTTCCTTTCAGATGAACCTGAGGTGAAGATCGAGGACTTCGATGGAAACTGGTACTTGAACCGTCAGGATGTTAAGCTGACCTGCAAAGCTGACGCCAACCCCCCTGTCACCATCTACCAGTGGAAACTGTGAGTCTGAATAAACCCCAGCTAAACCCCTCAAGGCTCCAGAGATGAGACAACACAGTGGCTGTGTGTTGTTTCACTCGTCTTAGATTTCAAGTTTTTTTGTGGAAGGGCATTTTTGTGTTCTTTTCTGATATTTATTTTAAAGCAAATAGCTATACAACAAAGACAAAAACACGCATACGTCCTTCCTCCTCTGTAGAAATGTGACTCTGTTTATGTGTTTGTTTGCGTGTAATGAAGATAAGACCAGTACCTGAGGCAGAGCACAATGGGCCTATTGACGGCAGCAGCCCTCACCCCTATCAGCCTGATGGTCACAGATACTGGGAGAACAAACACAGCACACTTTGCTCTGCTTTTGGGGGGGGGTTTCGCTTTGAAGTCTGCGGACCAGCGTGGTGGAGGGGTAAGAGAGCGTCATCGTCAGTGTCGTCGTGTTCTCAGGGAAGTCAGCGGTCTGTTCCTCGCAATGAAGCTGGGGGTTTAGGACGGGGGGATTGGGCTGGCGTACCGCAGGCCAGGCATCACAATTGTTATCACTGCAAATCCACAAACCAGGGGAGATGCAGTGCACCAACGGGAATCGCCGAATAACCCCCGGTTCGATGTGCTGTGAGTAACGGCATGAAAGATGGTCATGAGGAAATGATGCTGTTCAAATAAAAGCACAGAGACGTGGAAGGAATACAACCACAATGGAGGATTGTTTGTTGCAATCTGCGCCGATCAACCCCCCTTGACTTGATCTCCACAAGAAGTTGGTGCAGCTCTTTGAACGTCAAGCAACTTATCGTGGTTTTGAAAATATTATACAATGGAATCAAGAGATAAATGTTGCTATTTGTCCTGTAATTGTGCAGTAAAGGTTGGTTTGTAAAATATGTCACATGCCCTGAGTGGATGTGGATGAACAGACCATTGTTGGATTTTAATGAGTAAGAGGGAGGTTTTTGTTTTACCTTTTTTCATTATTTGTCCTTATGCATAGATTCAGCTTCCAGGGCAGTAACAGCGATACACACACAGCAGCAGAGGAAGAAGACACGATAGAGACGACTCGGCGTGTTTGTTTTTTATCACCGGCAAAGAGAGATTTAGGGAGATAAGAAGGAGGGTGAAGAGATGTGATCTGGAAAGACGAGGGCACTGTGCTGACAGATACAAGGGGACGGCCATTGCTGTACTGAAAATGAGATGCCAAATCTGTTGTGAAGGATCCCCAGGGCTCCGCTGTGGAGGTCAGCACAGGACTGTGACAGAACGATCCGGAACAGGCCGGCACGATTCCGTCACACTTTAACACACACACACACACACACACACACAAACATGGTAGAGGTGGAGCCAAATCCAATAAATATCAAGGTGTTTGATACAGATCTACGTTACGTCCAGAGGTGCTAGTTTTTGGTTTATGGATCGTGTTCCATCGTTGGCTTGTTGTGGAAGCTAGAATTAAAAATGTAAATCTCTTTTACAGTCTTCCTCTCCCTGCGTTATGTACTTACTGTACATATATTAAATCCTTGGGGAAGCCAATGTTTTTCTTTCTTAGAGCATAATCTCAAAGCTTTTTCTCAAAAACGGGTTAATGTGGAGCTGCGACGAAACGGCAGACTTGACTAAAACAAAGGACGCCTCCTGTTTGAACTTAATTGTTTGTTTTTGAGATTTTTTACTTGTAGGGTATTATTCACTTGCTGTGCTCATTTGTCGATTGTGTGCGAACTCTTGCTTTCAGTGGGCATTGGAATAGTAATCCAGGGATGAGAGGGCTCAAGAATTGTTTACTATTACAAATAAGTCAATCAGTTGACTGTCTGAAAATCTTTTTCCAGCTCTCGCGTAAAGCTGTTCAACTCGCTCGGAGATATGGGATGTAGCTATAAAGAAAAGCAGCCATATTTTTGTTATTATGGCTGTTCGCAGTGTAATTACCTCAAAATCTGCTCTAATTAGCTGTGGCTTTCTTATCTTCATTGTGAAAATGGGATTCTATTAATCACGTCGAATAAAAGCCACCAAGTGTTGGTTCAATTAGCTGTGGATAAAACCTACAGTTACTTTTAGTGGCCCTTTACATAATTCTAAAAGAAGAAGTGCAGACACCACAGAGGTTATAAAGTAATGTATCTTTTAAGCAGATACTTTCATGTTCATTGGAGAAATAGCTTGCTGAATTATGTAATAGAGCAAAGATCTTTGTTTTGTTTGCAGAAACAGGCCCAAAGATGGAAATGCTGTACAAATTGACCACATTGGAGTCATTAATGGTGTAAATAGGTGTAAATTGGTCGCTGATGTAAAATGCTTTGCTCACAATATTAATATTTCATTTCTCAAAAATGGTTCAAAAGCAAGAGTGAATTGAAACAGTTTCATTCTTATTCCAATCACAAAAAGTACATATTCCCTGCAGATGTCAATAATTCTATTGACCGTTGAATTGTTTAATTGCTCAAAGCAACATAGTTTTGTACTCGCCCTGGGTCATGATTTGTTGTAAATATGTATTAATCTTGTGAAATAACCTAGATACATAATTAATTCATTTCTTCTGATCGGTTGTTTTTAAATCTCTATATAAATAAGGACATTTTCTAATTTTGTTTTTTAAGTAGCACATAGTGTACATACATGTCTTTGTTTCAAATCCATCTTCACTCATCTATGAAATCTGGATGGTGGGTTGATGTATGGAGTCTTTAAGTCACCCACATCTATATTCAGGTATATGCATGCACATAAGCCAGCCAGTCAGTCATCAAAGAATCTGCATCACTCTCAAGCTGTTTGTTAGCCTTTCATTTTGCTGCCCCTCAGGCTCCAGGCTCCACACACACTTTTTCTCTCTCACACACACACACACACACACACACTGCCGCACATGCATGAACACACACGTTCAGATGGTTAATACAAATTCAGACATCTCTGGTTTCTCTGTGGTGAATCACAGTTTGCCAGCCTTTCATTTCTGCAGCAAATCAATTTGGCTTTGCAGAACTCAGGATTTGATAGCGGCTCACATGGTAACTGATTATTGAATCGTGACATACTGTATTCAGGGTTGTTTGCAGTTCAATTGCCAAAGCCCTTCACACAGGTGGTCGGTGGGGAAAGAAAAAAAAACTCGGCCGTAGCTTTTATTTATTCATCTATCTTTCTCTGAACACGTTGTTGAAAGAGAGAAAATAATAATCTTGACTTGTCGTGAAAGATTTCTCTGTGGAATTAACCACAAATGGATCAGCTGTTGGTAATTGATATTTCATGACAGATTCATTAACAAATAAACTCATCACAGTGTCTTTCTCCTCCGTTAGTGAAAGCCTGTTCAGTGTTTAGCTTAAACGTTTGATGTGTGGCTGTTGTTAGCGTGAGGCCTAATTGTGTTGCCTGTGTAATGTCATCTTGTATTCCTCTCGCTCTAATAAATGGAGCATTACATTGTTTTTAATGTCCTCACACACTAGCGGATGTCAGAGTGTTAGCAGACGGAGAGCAGGCCCAGAAGTGACGTGAGGATTGTTTCAAAAAAAAAAAAAAACTGCCGCTGACGCCCAGCAGCCAACTGCGTACCCGCCAGAGGACCTGTTTAATATTATCATGTTTGCAGCTCTACTTAGTTTGGATCCATTCAGAGCAGCTGATGAAGCTTGTCGGAGGCGAAGGCAACAGGAAATGGCTAATTGCCACGAAATTTAATACCTTTTCTCAGCCTCGGGGCTCCATAAAATGGGTCTAGATAATAGTACGGAGCGTTGATGAGCTCATGATCCGTGACCCCGAAGTGCGCTGACCTGATCAGAGGTTCATGAGCGGGCTCTGAGCGTGAACCATGAAGGCAAACACCTCGGGCAGGAGGATCGGGCTCCACTTCTCATTGACAGCCCTGCGTTTGGTAGATTCTGCGTTCATCGCTTGATCAGCTGCCTCTCCTGACGGCTCCCATGGGTTTTTGAGCTCAGCCATGTGAGCTGTGCTGTAGTTAAACACCCCCCTCCATCCCCGTCTACCCTCCGAGTCTGTTTTGTATTTCACATGCCGAAAAAAACCCAGTGTCCTCAGGCATCAGCTATGTCTTACCTGTGTGGACCTGCTGGGAATCCCTGTCCTCATAATTTTGTTTGGGCTTGATGGATGATGGCTGAAATACAGCGCTGTCAAATATTCCTGGTATTTATCTCTCACACACACCAACACACATCCAGGTTTGTTTGGCACTACAGAATGTATTTTTCATGCACTCTGAATTGCCTTGCAGAGAGGGATTTGTAGTTTAAATTCTTTTTTCGTCTGATGTACTTCTGCAATTTTTTAATGGCGTCTGTATTATTGCTTCTGTTCACCACAGCTTGAACGGCTCCCTGCCGAGTAACGTGGAGATCAAGAACAACACCCTGTTCTTTAAGGGGCCGGTGACCTACGACCTGGCCGGCACGTACGTCTGTGATGCGACCAATGGCATCGGGACCCGCACCGGCATCGTGGACGTTAACATCACAGGTAGGTTGATTGACGTGGTCTTTTCCGTTCTCTGTCTCTCAGTCTGGCATGGCTTGCCATCAATACAGTACTCTCACAAAAAAAAACTACTTTGGTATCAGACCTCTACTCTCCTTAATAAATGCATACATCCATGAACCAAGCACAGACAAGGAGATAGTCGCTGATTGGCTGTGTTTTGATGTGGTTTTCACACCTGCCCTGGCTACGAGGCTCCCTGCTGTGCTGTGTGGAAGGTTAGATGAGAAAAAAAGCCTCTGGGTTTGTATATGAGAGCTCCAAACGCACACTGTGAGAACACAACAGCCGCTCCCTCCCACCCTGCCTTGCTATGCACCCAGGCGCATGTGTGGGAGAGATATAAAGTCGGTCTATTATTAGCACCTAAAGTAACATCAAGGAAAATGGGGGTTTGAGGTGAGGGTACTGTATTGATCATAGTTTGCTCGCATCATGCTCTGTCTATGTCTCCAAACAGCCCGCGCCTCATTTTGCAGTTGAGCTCGTTCTTTTGTCTCCTCTCCGTCTTCTGTCTTCTGGGGAAAACAAAATGCTGAACAAAACTGATGCAGTTCCCCGGCCTTCCACATAATTGTTGGCACACACGCACTGTGGTTCCTCTGGGTTCTCATCCATAGGAGACGATATTTTGCCCTCAAAGCCCCTGATACAATATATACCAGATCTGCGCTGCTATACTTGCTACTAATGTGGGGATCCTCCTCTATTGGTACCAGCTGTGTGTGTGTGTGTGTGGTACTGGGATACTGTCACAGTTTTGCTCTGGTCAGACTGGAAAGACTCCCCCCCCCCCCCTCTCTCTGCACTGCTTGGTTTCTGGGAAGCGGGGGTGTTCTAACTTGCATTGCTTTGCATGTTGACTCACGTTGCGTCTCTGGGAACGCTCTGCTCGCTGTGAAGTGAACAGCTGTGCCTTACAGTATCATTGCATACCCCCCCCCCTTATGTTTCCTCCCTTTCAGTGTGTAATAAGGGTAACGCCAGGACAAAGCAGCTTTGTAGGATGTGATGTCATCAGCTGCATCACGAGAAGTTGCCCGTCCAATGTAGGCGGATCCGTGGAGTGATAATAGAAATCTCAAAGGGGGCAGGAGCAACCCTGACTTATCAAACAGGAAAAGAGGAAGTAATCTCCCGTCAGGAAATCACCCTGCAACAGCTTCTATTGAGTAATTGTGTTGCAGAGAGATTGTAGTGTTTGGCATAAAGTACTACATCCTTTGAAAAGGCAAAACAAAGGCACTAAGGTCATTTTCTATTCCTGCTTTTTCATTGACTGCTTAAATTAACAAGCCACATTGCTATTGTCCCTGAAGTCTCACTGCTTATTCTCATCTTTTGTCCATGTAATTTTTATTGAGTGAGTAAGGTGAACAGTGTGTGGGCACATAATTTGAGTGCATTCAGTTTTAATTTGTTTGCGTACAGAATTGAATCTAAAGATTGTATTTAACATTCAGAACAATGTTCAGCAGCAGATTAAAAGAAGTGCATTTTTGAGTGTGACAGTGTGAAATCTCTGCTGGTCGTAGTCGTTCCTCTGCTCTGTCACTCTGCATGTTTCATTAATACCCTGGGTTAATCTGCTTCCAGAAATCTCTATGTGAGTAATGTCTATGTGGCTCGCATAACCCGAGAATTGTTCATGTTATCGGCAGCACACATGTGTTCTGTTTGAAGCCCAAGAAAGGGCAGTGTAGACTTTGGTACGATTTGGACAAGCGATTTGTTCAATATTAATAGTGCATGTATCCAGCTCTCTGTTAATGCAGTGGCTGGGAGTCATCAATGTAAGCGGCATGGTGCATTCATGACAACGGCAATGTCATACTCGGTCTGGGTTCTGCATACTGAGTCGAGCTTCACTGAACTTTGAATAAACAGGTGAACATCGCAGCAGCGGTGCAGAAGCTTCAGGGTTCAGTGGACTGAGTCCCGCAGTCGATCTTTGCGGCCACGGCTCAATTACACTTTTACATGTTCAGAAAGAAAACTGCAACCAGCATCATGACAGGACAAACTAACAGCCATGTCCAAACAGGCAGGTTGAGATTTGGCTCTGCATTCAGACATTACATTCTGAATTTTGTCTCCTTTCCTAATCTTGATTGTCACTTTTCCTCCCTTCCTAATTATACCATCATGCTTAAGCATATGCTGAATATTAAATATCACAAAGCACCTGACAGTCTGTATCCTCTCAAGTGTTAAACTGGCTGGATGCCTACTGCAAGTGTTGTTCTATATTGTTCAGTGGCAAAAGGCCTGTGTTTAGGACACAAACCCAAAGGGTCCTATACAAGCCTTTATAGCATGTTGCCAGTTCCCATAGTAACAGTGACAATTTAAAGGGAAGAGAGGCAGCCTCTCCCTTCCTAAAGCACCGCTCAGAGCCTCAGCTCCAGCATGGCGTCCTGTCAGATTGCTGAACAGCTCACAAACGGCTCTGGTTGAGTGTCAGACATTAGGACGGTTTGGATGCAGAGAGGGGAGCAGCAGCACAAACAGGGACAGAGCTGTCTGTCCTTGTGTCTCATACAGGCGCTACATGTATACGTTACAATGGAATCACACACCGCTCTTTGCTGAGGTTGTGAAATGCTAGCCTATTCCTGTCTTAATGCAGACTCGTCAGCATAATCTCCCACACTGCAGCGAAAACACCACAACACGTGTAAAGGAAATCTCGCCATCACGAGGACATTTCTTCAGCTCCTGGTCGACTTTACATCGATTATGATGACATGAACAAAGTGTTGAACAGGAAGCCCAGCATGGCATTTCCACCTAATTCTTTGAAGCGCTTCTTCGGTGCAGCCTTGACACTGGCTGCGCATAATGACCCGGGAGCGGAGGTAAAGAAGTATGCTGATGCTTCATTAACTTCAAAGAGCATCTTTGTGCCTCCCTCAGACGAGCCGGGCTCAGACGTGGCAGGTGAGAGAGCCCACTGCTGGCTGCTGTTCAAGGCTGCAGCAGCGGGCCTCAGTAATGGAAGCGTTGTCTGTGGAAGAGGAAGGTGACCACGCTGATATCTGCACAGAGCCACCGATTTCTGGACCGTAGTGCAAAACATGACATCGGAATTTAATTTCCTGTCTAAAGGGCACATTTTAATGGCCTTTGGATGTAGATGCAACCAGGAGAGTTCTGTGCTCCGACAGTCAATAACTCAGCCATCTTAGCCTTTAGCGCTCATTTATATCAGAGCAATAAAGGATTTGCCACTTTAACAAAGTTTCAAGGTTTTTCAGCTGTAGTGCTGAGCTATGACTTCAAATCAATATCACAATTATTTTGAACTTTTACCTCTAGAACAATTGTTTTGATCATTGCGTGCACACAAAATGTTGGGCTTTTTTTCCCGTGTCTCCTAAAGCGACATCAGACAAACACAAAGTAAATTTCAGTAATAACTTCTGATTAGTGTCAGTGTTTATTGTTGTTTATTGGTCAGTGGGGAAGTGAGCAGGGAGGACAGGCAGCAGCCCGGTACCCAGGGGTACCTGGGCAGCCGCTGCAAAATAAACGTAGCAGAAACTCGACAGTTCCTGAATGCACACACCGGGGAAAGTATTAACTGACATGATCAAGATTAAGTCAGTTAGAGGTTATAAATGTCCGTTTCTAACCATTTTTGGTTGATTGCCCAGCCCTACTTTGAACCAACACAGTTCTACTAGTTTCCATGTATTTGATGGCAGCACTTTTTGTTTTCGTTTTAAAGTTCATTTTGAACCTGACACAGCAATATACACCTGCCAGAGAAACAACTCAACCAAAATGTCAAATTTGTTTGTATCGCAGAAAAGCTGTTCTATCACACTGATGGAGCAGCGTAGTAAGGCAGGTTTTAATCAAGCTCCTCAGTTTTCATGGACGGATTTGTCGGAGCCACAGAAGTGTCACCTCGGCAGATAGCGGGGCTGTACAGCACCTTGTTTCAATTAGATTGGGGATGATGTTTGCTGTGGAGATGCCATCGACTATGGTAAGTCACATGGACTAAGACGGCTTTCTCCAAGGACATGTGTTCTGCAGATATGGGTGTCGCTTGTCAGAATCTAATGAACCACACTCCTGCTTTAATCAATCCTTGCTCTCAGAAAAAGAGGTGAAAAAGGGAAGTCAGAGAGAAAATGGAGAGCGTGAGGAGAAGATCTATAACAAGAGAGATGAGCTTCTAAGAAGGGAGGCTGTCGTAAAGCTTTCCTGATTGCAAAGCCCCTATAAGGATTCAAATTTGACCTCTTATGACCTCTTTCTCGAAAAAACCTCTCTCATTCACATTCAGTTCAGAATTCTCCTGAGGCAAAGTTGACAAGTCGTCAGATCTGATTAATCAGCTAATTACGAGTGGCTATCAGAGGCCACGTGAAAAAATAGAGACAATTAAACAGCCTCACATTGAGAAGTTGTGTTTGACGATTCATTCTTGGCAGCTTCAAGTGTCTAATGGAGGAATTCCTGTCAAACTCCTGTAAAATATTGCTGCAGAGGAAGCCACAGGAAGAGCGCTCGATAGTGTGGTTAAACTCTAAGATCCTCCCCAACTTAAGAGAGCGGTTCAGCCTTTCATTAAGATAATCAGCTTTCCCAACATCACACTCTTGTTTCTGTGCTCGAAACAAATCAATGCTGCCATCTTAAATTTCTTCCCAGCACATAATGGGACGTGATGAACGGCCATTTTGTCAGGATGGCCTTACAATTATGTCATTATCTGCCCTGAGAGGGGAGGCATGTGGTTTAATACTTGGCAGCGTGACGTGGGAAAATGTCCCTTTACTAAAGCCGCACATTCACTGCAGAATTAATTTGTTTACCCACGTGAGTAATCTTATAAACTCGATGAGATATTTTTTAACCTTGACTCTCCTACACAGCAGCACAAATCTTTGTCAAACTAGGGCCGGATGGAGTCAAAGATGGTGCATAATTCCTGCCACATCTGCGGGATGAGCTGCAAGTGAGGATAT